ATACTGCCACAGTTTAGTGGCGGGATAGCTCAGATGGTTAGAGCGTCAAAGTAAAAGTTTAAACCCGGACTGTTGAACAAATCCCGCCACCGCCAACTCAGCGCTTGAGTAGTACTTCGGTATGCAAAAATGTTGGTCAATAACGGAGGCTACTTTGGATTAGTCTTAATGACTATTTGTGGCTGTTCCAATGCTAAGCCAACATTATCTTCGGATATAAGAACATTGTATAGAAAAATATAGCATAAAAACTCAAATAAATGAAATTTAAAAAAAAAAAAGAATATATGCAGCAGCAGCAGCAAGAAAATGAATCAACTAATTCAATTGATTCTGATGATGATAATGACATTGAAATTGATGCAGAAGATGGTTCATTTGATGCAGATGCAGAAGCAATTGATGAAGATACTACAGAAGAGCTACTGAGTTGCATACCGGATAGACTTGCCTGCTTCGCTCATATAATACAATTGGTTATCAAAAACGGTATGAAAAATTGTAGGAAAGTTGAAAATGTTATTGGCAAGGTTGCATCAATAGTAGTTTCTGTTTGCAAGGCTACAGTTTATAGTGAAATTCTACACAACATGGATTACAATCTCAGGTCAGCTAACCAGGTGGAACTCTTAATTGAAAATGGTGCGGTCAGTTTTGAAAGTGCCAGAAGATAAACTGAAAGAAGCAGTTAGAGACCTTCTGGAACCTGTGACAAGCAGAACATTGACCACCCTCAAGCGCACATTACTGAAAAAATACGTTGAAGTAATGCAGCCATTTAAAGAAGCAACCAACTGTGTTCAGGGTGAAGACAGAGTAACAATGTCCAATGTTCTTCCTAGTATGCGTGGTTTATATTTTAAACTAGAATCAATTCATTCTGTTTATTGCAAGCAACTGATCACTGATCTTTTGTTATCTATTAATGCTTGTCTCCATAAATATGAGACCAATTTCTTATACATAACAGAAGCAGTACTGGATCCTCGATTCATGTTGCATTGGTGCATGCGAAATGAAGTAGAAGACTGCAAAAATACCGTAGTTGTAGAAATGCAAATATTCTGCGTTGTAAATGTAATCAGCTTGACTTGGCAGTCTTCGTCTGTACTTGTACTATCACCTGCACCTGCACAAATTCCTAATCAAGTGTCACAAGAGGAACCAAACAATAAGAAACTGTAAGTTAAAAAATCTTTAGTTTTATGGAAAGTTCAGGTCAACAAGAACAAGAGATACAGGAGGAAGCCATTTTGCTGAAACTTAGACACGAGCTGAATGACTATGTGAAGGCTCCATTACAGGAATATGAATCTGACCCTCTTGTATGGTGGAATTCTAATATCAATAACTTTGGCATTAAATAAAGCAGTACAGCAAACGTGACTTGTTGTAAATGTTTTCTTATTAACAGTTATTGTATTTGAAACTATGCAACACATTTGTAATTGTAATTTAATTGGTTCAAATACAAAATCATGTAATTGTAATTGTAACTGTAATTGGCAAATTTTAAAGTAATTGTAATTTAATTGTAATTGAAGCTCATGTAATTGACCCATGTCTGGTATATATATATATATATATATATATATATATATATATATATATATATATATATATATATATATATATATATATATATATATATATATATATATATATATATATATATATATATATATATATATATATATATATATATATATACATATATATATATATATATATATATATATATATATATATATATATATATATATATATATACTATATATATATATATTTATATATATATATATATATATATATATATATATATATATATATATATATATATAATATATATATATATATATATATATATATATATATATATATATATATATATATATATATATATATACATACATATATATATATATATATATATATATATATATTAGGGTGTCCCAAAAAATAACATTTTTGAAAATAATCTGCTCTCACCCCCTAAATGTGTTCTATCTAATGCAAAAACACTAGGTTTAAATTTTTTTTGAATAAAAAATATTTTAAGGGGTCCCTCAAGACCCTCGAATATTTAATGGGTCCCTAATATTTTCAAAAAAAAGTTTTTCAAAAATATGTCAACCTGGTACTCAAATGAAGCAAAATTATATAAAAATTTTAAAAATAATATTCATTTTGAAACAAAATTGTTATTTTTGGTTTTATTACATAAAAAATTGCGTTTTTTAAGAAAAAATGAAAAAAATGCATTTCTTATGTTTTTTTATGAATTTAGATAAATAAGTTAAAAATATATATTATTATATATATATATATTTATATAAATATATATATATATATATAAATATATATATATATATAAATATATATATATATAAATATATAAATATATATAAATATATATATATATATATATATATATATATATATATATATATATATATATATATATATATATATATATATATATATATGTATATATATATATATATATATATATATATATATATGTATATATATATACATACATTTATTGAAATTTATTTAGTTGGAAGTTACTGGAAGAGAAAAGACTAATGTATATGGCCAAGAATTAAACCTTGAGGAACCCCTGAGGTTACAGAATAAGAAGAAGAGTGCTGTCCATCAAGGACAACTTTTATACTACGATTGGAAAGGAAGGATTCAATAATCTTAAAGATGTTTCCAGATACACCGTAAGAAAAAAGCTTATGTAGAAGAGCAGCATGCTGAACTTTATCAAACACTTTAGAAATGTCAAGAGCGATGGTCTTAACCTCTCCACTTAATGCAACTTTGAGTGCTTAGGAGGTAAAGTGCGCCTGAAGCTTCCCAAGTTTGTCTTTCCCATAGCTTTTTATCTTGGACCAAGATCTTACCCTAACATTTATCCAAGCATCTTCAGTTTCTCCCTTTTTTCCAACACTTTTGGGTAAAAGACAGCAAACATAACAAAATGTGGCATCTTTCTCGGTACTATTTTCTAAATGTTCAAACTCTTTGTACTACTGGGGATTAAATCTATTTTTACCATCACTTGGGAAACTAGCAAGTTTTGGTTGGTGTGGCCCTAAGTGGAGTAAATACAATTTTTATTTGTCCGTAATTGTATGTGGACGTAAACCTGGGTCATGCCTTATCAATGCTGATGAATCTGATTTGTCAGTTATAATATTTTGAGCTTTGATATCGAGTTTTCTTATAAAAACGTTTCCCATTTCCAAAACATTTTTGACATTTCCAATACAGAACTTGTTGCATTTAAAATTTCAATTGCAGTGAATTTTTTATCTACAAATACTTTTTTATAATATCTTTTATAAATGTCATTACAATCTTTAAGATTATCTATTAAAAAAAACAAATTTCCCATGAAAGAAGGCCAATTTGTTGTCCAAATTAATAATATTTGTGTCATCCTTTATTTCTTGGCCAGAAAACTGGGGTAAAGAATCTGATTCAGAATAAAGCCGACAGCTAAATAATACCATTTTAATAAATTTAATAAACAAAATTTCTCTTTCCTAGAGTTCATTTGTTTAGAGTGGTGTTTATACTAATATTTTCTTTGGAGTGGTGTTTATAATGATATTTTGTTTAGAGTGGTGTTTATACTGACAGTTTGTTTGAAGTGGTGTTTATACTGATATTTTGTTATGAGTGTTGTCTATACTGATATTTTATTTAGAGTGTTGTTTATAATGATATTTTAAATTAAAACTGAGATTAATCAACAAAAGAGTTTATTTCATGTTTCATCTGGATGGAAAGTATTTGTATTTTGTTATACAATAAAGTTTGTGTATTGACTACAAGTTGTCAAGTCTGTAGACTTTAAAATGATTGACAAAAATTAACTCAATAGAGGACCTATATTTCAAGAATTAAAATAATACTTTTTCTTAAACTAATTTTTATACGATTATTTTATATTTATTAATTGTTTTAGTTATTAGTTATATAATGTGTGGAAGTAGAATTGAGGCGTTTTTTTTGGTTTTTGACTAAAATCAAATGTGTAGTTTTAATAAACCAAACAATTGTTTTTTATACTTGCATTTCATGTGATAACCACATTTAAAAAAAAATTCATTTTGAGTTCTCCTTGTTGTATCACAATTAACTCGGTACTTATTTTAATTAAGAATTTATTTAAAATGCATGTATATACATGTGCCATTAAGAAATACAAAGATGGTGAACTGTCACCATCTTTAACTGTTACCAGGTAATTAATTGGTATAAAAATCAGCTTGTTTTACTAATATTGTAAATGCTGACTATTGCTCAATATTCATTTTTAAAAACAAATTTTTTTTATACTTTTTTGGAATCTTTGTTATATTTTTTGAAAAGTATATTAGTGTTACATAAAACCATTCAACAAAGCTATACAAAGCTATTTCATTATCATCAACATCAAATACACAGTTACACTTGCAAGAAGCACTTATTATCCATTTAAATTATAATCAAAAATCTAGTGAAAAATAATGAATTAATTATTAATTAAAATAAATTAAAATAAAAAATAAAATAAATTAAAATAAAAGATTTGGTTCTTAAACAATATTTGACATCAGAGCTAAAAGTTCTAGAAAAGCAGTAGTTTCTTGTTGTAACTGTAATAGTTTCTTATTTAATATGTGTGTATGTATATATATATAAATATATATATATATATATATATATATATATATATATATTAATTTAATATGTATGTTTGTATATATATATGTAAATATGTATATATATATAAATATATATATATATATATATTATATATATATATATATATATATATATATATATATATATATATATATATATATATATATATATATGTACATAAATTTGTATATATACAAGTGTGTGTGTTTTTATAGATAACTATGAATGCGGTGTTCATCCTCCGTACTAGTTTTTCTTCTGATATTTAAATTATAAATGTTTATAAATTTGTTTAAATATCAATGAATGTACTCAAATCAATCCTCCATGTTCATGGAGCAACGGAGTATGTATGAATACAAATGGCGGTTTTTTTTGCTCATGTAAAGTAGGATGGACATTGGGTCAAGATAATGCTAGCTGCGTCGGTAGCTTTTTAGTATTTTTATATATATATTAATTTATATACATTGATATTACACATTGATTATTAATTATACACTTTTTTAAGATGTAAATGAATGTGCAAGTAGCAATCCTCCTTGTTCTTTAATCAGCGGAGTATGTAATAACACAAATGGTAGTTATTTTTGTTCTTGTAACAAAGGATGGATGTTGTCTCAAGATAATGCTACGTGTGTTGGTAAGTGCTCTGATTGTTAACTTGAGTGAGGTTAATAGTATTACATTTATATTACAGCACTTGAGTTTTATAAAGTTTAGTTTTAATAACAATAATAAACCTGACAAAACATTTGTAGAAATGGAAATGATTAACACAACGTTTTTTTGCGTGAATATTAAACATAAGCGATTAAGACATTTAACATAAGATATTATTTTTGTACTAGCTGGTATGACCCGTACGATATGGGTCGTGCCAAGTCTAATCCACACCCGACATTTTGTAAACTTGTTCCTTAGTCTTTATGATTTAATTTATTTCGTAAACGGCAAAAAATAAATCAATTTAAAGTTCTTATTACATTTTTACTTATTTACTTTGATATTTTCTACATAATAAAAGTATCTTTAGCATTTAATACAGTTGTGTGAAACTTAGGCTATGATAATATTTTAATTCTCTCATAAGGATTTATTTAAAAAGCAAATTTGGACATTAAAAATGGATCCAAGAGACCTATGATTTCAAATAAGTTAGCTTTATCTGTTTGATATATTATATTAAAGCCTTCCCAGTAGACGCGGACATAAAAAAGACGTTTAAAACATTTGCGTAACAATTCTTGAGGTGTTTTTGAAAACTTAAGCTATAATCAAGATTACCCTCTCGTCAAGTTTTATTTAAAAAACAAATTTTTTACAAAAAAAAGAAAACGGGTCTAAGAGACTTGTTATTTTAAATAAGTTAGCTTTATCCGTTTGATACTTTTTATAAAAACGTTGCTGTAAAAAACAAAACTGTTAACAAATTCATTCAATTAAGCTGTTTTTACATCCAAAGTTATTAAAACATGTTGTTTGTGCTAATCGATACTTAATGCAAATGGAAACTTCGAGTACAAAATACGATTTTAAGTATAAATGGTTTCTATTCATATATATAATAAAAAACAACAAAAATAAAAAAAACAATGCAAAAATGATCAATATATCCATTTGAAACAATAAATCCAAAAATAAAAAAATATATTTACTTAAGAAACAAAAAACATTTTTCTTGAGATAAAATGAAAATATGAACTTTAAAAAAAATTACAAAAAAAAAATTATATTTAACAAAAGGGTAAAAATATATGAAATCATCCAGACCATGACACCCTTACGTCTCAGAATTTGTTTATTTTTACACCACTTGCAGTCCATATCAAAAAAAAAATAAGTGCGAAAATTTTAGTTAAAAATACCAATGGGTTCCATAGACTCAGCATTTTAGTGATTTTCTGAAGCGACTACAAAGCAACTTTGACATATAGTATCTTCATAATGGCTTGGGGAAATTTCCTAAAATTTGGTACTCTAATAGATTTTAACTTGAGGAATCCAAAAATAGCACTCTTAAGACTCGATTATCTCAAGAAATGCCTCATTTATCCAATTTTGTTCAAAATTGTTGACTTGTAAGTTAGTGATTTTTGGAGGTAAAATAAAGACTGTGGCCCAAAATCCCGGGTAAAAATTTTAATTGTATATCATTATTTCATCTAAGGTCTACTGAAAAAAATTAGATTTATCAATTGTCTCTCTAATACGTGATCAAAATTTGCATTTAAAAATGGTGTCTTTTTAGAAAAATTTAATTTTTGTAACAAAAGCAATTGAAATATTTTTTTAAAACATTTATTTGAATAAAACATCAAATAGTGTCATTTATTGAATAGTTTAGGACATTTATAGTCATGGGCCAAGGGAGATACCCTCCACTCCCATGGGAGGCCCCTACGTCCTCTCCCCCAATCTCCCTAGATTTTTTTTTTTTTTTTTTTTTTTTTTTTTGCATAAAATGAATAAATAATGCAAAAACATACAATTTAATTTTAATTTTGAAAAAAAAAAATTCATTATTTCAAATTGGTGACTTAATACCTCCTTTTATATAAAAAACAAACATAAGTTTTGTTTTGTTTTTTTTAAAGGTATTTACTTGTTTGTATTTTCTTAAAGAATTACTTTTAATTTTATAGTTTTTATATTATTTTGTTTGGTAATAAATAATAAAAATAATTAATATGGAGAAATGTGACATTGGAAAAATTCTTAACATTGATTGCCACAAAACTGGATTTTCAAGAAAACAAGGTTTTGTTCACTTTAAAGATCTTCCTTGTGAAAAACAAGAAGAAATAATATGGCGAGCAAATTTAAAGGAAAAATATAGTTCAATAAGAATTATATGTTGTTATCATGAGCAATTCTATGGAAATTATTTTGAGAGAAAAATTACAAAGTGTTGCAATCCTTTTGGAACACACAAGGAAAGTAAAAAAATTGCTATAAAAGGTAATCTTACCTTATTTACAACAGAATTGATATGGAAATTAAAAGAAAACAATTTATTATTTATAAAAAGTTTAATAATTTCAGTTATTTTAACAACGTAAAACTAAATTTGTTTTTTAGGTAATATAAAGATTTCCATAGACATGGCAAACTATTTGCAAAAAAATAATGTTTATGTAACCCCAGGTTGGAAATTCTGCAGTAAATGTTACAAAAAAGCAATAGAAACTGATGAAGATTTAAATTCACAGGAGGAATGGAAATCAAAAAGTGAGAAAAAAATTAACTTAGATACCACTATAGAATTGCTTGGAATCTCACCGGTCAAACTAAAAAGTCTTTCAAAACACAGCAAATTGCCTGTAGCAAAACAAAAAGTTTGAGAACACTATTGACAGAGTTGCAAAAATGGTCTCATTAGCATATAATATTAAAGAAACTTTTTTAACAACAGAAATAAAAAGCCCCATTTTAAACAACAACATTAACAATGACCATGATCTAGACATTTTAATGTATGAAATAAAAAATAAAATTTCAGAGACTGACTCTTATCGCCATAAGGTGCAAATGTTAACACTCGCACCAAAATCATGGACACGTAAAAAGATATCAAGCTACTTTGAAGTGTCTGAGTATCTTGTTCGAACAGCAAGAAAAGTTAAAAATGAGAATGGAATTCTATCATTACCCAGGAAAAAAACTGGAAACCCACTTTCAACAGAAACAGTTAATTTAGTGATTAACTTTTATCAAAGTGATGAATTTTCAAGAATGATGCCAGGAAAAAAAGATTATGCAAGTATTAAGAAAAACCAACATGTTCAAAAAAGATTATTGCTACTCAATCTTAATGAATTACATGTTGCATTTAAAAAAGACTACCCTAACGTCAAAGTCAGTTTGTCAAAGTTTTGTACTCTTAAACCTAAATGGTGTATTACAACTAATGCGTCAGGTACCCACAATGTATGTGTTTGCATACATCACCAAAATACAAAACTTCTCATTGATGCCATTAGGTGGAATAAAAGTTATAAAGATTTCATGGCATTGATTGTTTGCTCTCTTGAAAATGCAGAATGTATGTTGCATCGATGTAACCAATGTCCTGGTATTGAAGCGTTAAAAAGTTTTTTAGTGCTGGAGTTTATGGACCATGAGCATGAAGAAGATGTAGTATTTAAGCAATGGCAGAGTACAGATCGTACAACACTACTTTCACAGTCATTGCCACTAGATGAATTTATTGATTTATTATGTGACAGTATTGACAACCTTACCACTCATTCATATATTGCAAAAACACAAAGTAGATACTTAAAAAACTGTAAAGAAAATCATAACCAAAACGAATGCTTAATTTTAGGAGATTTTGCTGAAAACTATCAATATGTTGTTCAGGATGAGGTTCAAAGTTATCACTGGAGAAAAAGTCAATGCTCACTTTATACAGTTGTACTTTATTTTATAGAGAACAAACTTCTCAAACATAAATCTTTTTTTACCTTTCAGAAAATGTTGATCATGACACAGGATTTATTTACAAGACTCAGGAAGATATAACTAGATATATCAAAGAAAATCTACCTGATGTATCAAGTGTGAAATACTTTTCTGATGGTTGTGCAGCACAATTTAAAAATTTTAAAAATTTTATCAATCTTTGTCATCACAGTAAAGACTTTGATTTAAATGCTGAATGGGTATTTTTTGCTACCAGTCATGGTAAATCCCCCTGTGATGGTATTGGTGGGACTGTTAAAAGAGTAGTATGCCAAGAACGTCTAAAACAAATAACTACTGGGCAGGTTTTAGATGTTAATTTAATGTACTCCTTTTGTAAAGCCAAGATAAATGGAATTTATTTTAAGTTATTTTCAAAAGAAGAAATTGATCAAACACGAGCACAATTAGAAAAAAGATATTTAGGTGGAAGAACAGTTCCTGGCACAAGGATGTATCATCATTTTATTCCAATTGCTCCAAACACTATAAGTTATAAAAAAATAAGTATTGATGCATGCACTGAAAAATTTGATATCATTCCAAAAAGCAAACATTATGTAGATATTTCATTAAATATTAAAAAAATGGATTATATTGCATGTTTTTATGATGGATTTTGGTGGGTAGGGATTGCTGAAGATGTAAGTGAGCTTGATATAAAAGTCAGATTCATGCATTCACATGGACCAGGTAAAAACTTCTTTTGGCCAATAAGAACTGATGAGTGTTGGGTGCTCAATTCTGAAGTTATATGCCTAATTTCTACACCCACAACAATATCAGGTCATACATACAACATAACTGATTTAGATTTGGAGAATAAAAACTGTTGGTTACAAAAAAAAATTAATTATGCTTAAAATAATTTTGTTTTTATTTTATTTACCTAATTTGCATTTTAAATGTCTTTTATTTTTTTCAAATCCTTGGATTGTAGGCTGGGAAGGAGGGGTGGGGGTTTAAATAAATCACAAATCACTCCCATCTTATTATGTCAATGACTATATTAGTCTAAAACTACATAAAGATATTTATTGTCAATATGTTTTAAAAACATTTTAAAACATTTGTTTTTGAAATTTATGACTTAAAATCGTAAAAAGATCTTTGATCTTATAATAAGAGGTAAGTATTTATCGATTTGAAGTAACGCAAATAAATCGTTTCTCAAAC